GCTGGGACTATAGGCACCCATCACCACGCCTGGCTAATTTTTGTTTTTTTTTTTTTTTTTTTTTTTTTTTTTTTTTTGAGACGGAGTCTCGCTCTGTCGCCCAGGCTGGAGTGCAGTGGCCGCATCTCAGCTCGCTGCAAGCTCCGCCTCCCGGGTCTACGCCATTCTCCTGCCTCAGCCTCCCAAGTAGCTGGGACTACAGGCGCCCGCCACCTCACCCGGCTAGTTTTTTGTATTTTTTTAGTAGAGACGGGGTTTCACCGTATTAGCCAGGCTGGTCTCGATCTCCTGACCTTGTGATCCGCCCGTCTCGGCCTCCCAAAGTGCTGGGATTACAGGCTTGAGCCACTGCGCCCGGCAATTTTTGTATTTTTAATAGAAGCAGGGTTTCACCATATTGGCCAGGCTGGTCTCAAACTCCTCAAGTGATCCTCAGCCTCTGAAAGTGCACAGATTACAGGCATGAGCCACCGTGCCCGGTCTCCACAGGTTTTAGTATGCTGTATTCCCATTTTCATTTGTGTCAATTTCCTTTTTGATTTTTTCATCAACCCATTGGTGGTTTAGGAGCATGTTGCTTAATTTCCAAATACTGTACAGTTTCCAATGTTCTGCCTATTCTAGATTTACTCTGTTGTCAAAAAAGATACTTGATGTGATTGTTTTTTTTTAAATTTAAGACTTGTATTGTGACCTAACATATAATCTGTACTAGATAATGCTCCACGTGCTTTTGAGGAGAATGTGTATTCTATGGCTATTGGATGGAAGGTTCCGTAAGTGTCTTGTTAGGTCCATTTGGTCTAGAGTGTACTTTGACTCTGATATTGTTGATTTTTGTCTGATTGATCTGCCACTGCTGAAAGTGTGTTAAAATCCTCTAGTATCACGTATTGCAGTCTATCTCTCCCTTTAGGTCTGTTTAAGATTTGCTTTATAAATTTAGATGTTCCAATATTGGGTGCATATATATTTATTATTTTATATCCTCTTGTTGTATTGACTATTTTACCATTCTATGATGGCCTCTTTGTCTCTTTTTACAGTTTTAGGCTTAAGATCTATTTTATCTCATGTAACAACTTGTTCTTTTTTGCTTTCCATGTGCAGGAGATATCTTCCCATCCCTTCACTTTCAGTCTATGTGTCCTTTCAGGTGAAGGGAGTCTTTTGCAGACAACATATACAGTTGACCCTTGAACGTTGTGGGGTTCGTTGTGGGGTTAGGGGCACCAACCCCATGTAGTTGAAAATCTGTGAATAACTTTTGACTCCCCCAAAACTTAACTACTAATAGCCTAATGTTGACCCAAAGCCTTACCAACAACATAATTAACACATATTTTATATGTTGATTCTATTATATACTATATTCTTACAATAAATAACCTAGAGAAAAAATGTTACCAAGAAAATCATAAGAGAAAATATATTTAATGTTTGTCAAGTAGAAGTGATCATTACACAAAGGTCTTCATCCTTGTGATCTTCACATTGAGTAGTTGAGGGAAAGGAGGGGGAAGAGCTGGTCTTCCTGTAAAGACCAGACTGGCAGAGGTGGAAGAAAATCTGCATGTCATTGGACTCATGGAGCTCAAACTCATTGTTCAAGGGCCAACTTTAGTTGGGCCATGTTTTTTCATCCTTTCAGCCAGTCTGCCTTTTAATTGGATAATTTAATCCATTTACATTCATGGTAATTATGGATAGGTAAGGGCTTACTATTGCCATTTTGTTACTTTTTTCTAGTTGTTTTGTAGATCTTTTCTTTTTCTCTTAGTCTTCCTTTCTGATTAAGTGATTTTCTCAAAAAATCTAGAAAAATTAGAACAAATGAAACCCCAAATTAGTAAAGGAAAAAAATAATAAAGATCAGAGCAGAAATAAACTAGAGAATTAAATACAAAAGATCAACAAAACAAAGAGTTGGTTTCCGAAAAGATAAAATCAACAAACCTTTAGTTAGACTAAGTATGAAAGAGAGATGATTCAAATAGATCAAAGGCCGGGTGCAGTGGCTCACGCCTGTAATCTCAGCACTTTGGGAGGCTGAGGTGGGTGGATCACCTGAGGTCAGGAGTTCAAGACAAGCCTGGCCAATAGGGTGAAACCCCACCTCTACTAATACAAATATTGGCCGGGCATGGTGGCAGGCACCTGTAATCCCAGCTACTCGAGAGGCTGAGGCAGGAGAATCACTTGAACCAGGAGGCAGAGGTTGCAGTGAGCTGAGATCGTACCATTGCACTTCAGCCTGGGCAACAAGAGTAAGACCGTCTCAAAAAAAAAAAAAAAAAAAAAAAGAAAGAAAAAGATGATCACATCACAATTGGTATCACAGAAATACAAAGGATCATCAGAGACTTATGAACAACTATATGGAAAACTTAGAAGCAATGGATAAATTCCTAGACACATATAACCTGCCACTATTGAATTATGAAGAATTAGAAAACCTGAACAGACCAATAATGAGCAACAAGCTTGAATTAAAAAAAGCTCTGGATCTAATGGATTAACTTACAAATTCTACCAAACATTTATTTATTTATTTATTTTATTTTTATTTTTTTTAATTTTTTTTTTTTGAGACGGAGTCTCGCTCTGTCACCCAGGCTGGAGTGCAGTGGCCGGATCTCAGCTCACTGCAAGCTCCGCCCCGCCGGTTTCACGCCATTCTCCTGCCTCAGCCTCCCGAGTAGCTGGGACTACAGGCGCCCGCCACCGCTCCCGGCTAATTTTTGTATTTTTTTTTTTAGTAGAGACGGGGTTTCAGGTGTTAGCCAGGATGGTCTCGATCTCCTGACCTCGTGATCCGCCCGTCTCGGCCTCCCAAAGTGCTGGGATTACAGGCTTGAGCCACTGCGCCCGGCCTCTACCAAACATTTAAAGAACTGTAGCTAGGCATGGTGACACGTGCCTGTACTCCCAGCAACTTGGGAGGCTGAGGTGGAAGCATCAGTTGAGTCCAGGAGTTCAAGTCCAGCCTGGGCAACACAGACCCCATCTTTTTTTTTTTTTTTTAGACGGAGTCTCGCTCTGTCACCCAGGCTAGAGTGCAGTGGCATGATCTCAGCTCATTGCAACCTCCACCTCACTGGTTCAAGTCAGCCTCCTGAGTAGCTGGGACTACAGGCACATACCACCACGCCTGGATAATTTTTTGTATTTTAGTAGAGATGGGGTTTCACCATGTTGCCCAGGCTGGTCTCAAACTCCTGAGCTCAGACAATCCTCCCCGCTTGGCTTCCTAAAATGCTGGGATTACAGGTGTGAGCCACTGTGCCCGGCCAATGCCATTTCTTTAAAATAGCACATCAAGAAGGTCATTTGCCATGATTAAGTGGGATTCATCCCAGGGCTGCAAGGATGGTTCCAACCTATGCAAATCAATAAATGTGACATATCACATTAATAGAATGAAGGACAAAAACTATATGATTATCTCAAATTCAACATCCCTTCATGATGAAAACCCTAAACAAATTAGGTATAGCAGGAACATAGTTGATTGCAATAAAGGCCATATATAACAAACCCATAGCTAGCATCATACTCAATGGGGAAAAATTGAAAGCTCTGCCTCTAAAATATGGAGAAATACAAGGTTGTACCACTTCTATTCAACATAGTACTGAGAGTCCTAGCCAGAGAAATTAGGCCAAGGAAAGAAAGAAAGGGCATCTGGGTGTGGGGGCGCATGCCTGTAATCCCAGCTACTCAGGAGGCTGAGGCAAGAGAATCACTTGAACCCAGGAGGTGGAGGTTGCGGTGAGCCAAGACTGCACCATTGCACTCCAGCCTGGGCAACAAGAGTGAAACTCCATCTCAAGGAAAAAAAAAGTATCCAACTGAAAAGGAGGAAGTCAAATTGTCCTTGTTTGCAGAAGACATGATCTTATATATAGAAAACCCTACAGCCTCTCCCAAAACCTGTTAGGTTAAACAAGTTCAGTGAAGTTACAGGACACAAAATTAACATACAAAAATCACTAGTGTTTCTATATATCAACACCAAACTATCTGAAAAAGAAATCAGGAAAGCACTCCTGTTTTCAATAATATCAAAAATAAAATAGGAACAAATTTAACCAAGGAGGTGAAAGATCTCTACAATGAAAACTGAAAAATTGGTGGAAGAAATTGAAGAGATTACTAATAAATGGAAAGATATCCAATGTTCATGGATTGGGAGAATATTGCTAAAGTGTCCATACTACTCAAAGTAATGTACAGATTCAATGCAATTCCTACAAAAGTACCAATGACATTTTCCACACAAAAAAAAAAACCCTAAAATTTGTATGGAATCACAAAAGACCCTGAATAGCCAAAGCAATTTTTTTTTTTGAGATGGAGTCTCACTCTGTTGTCCAGGAGGCTGAAGTGCAGTGGCATGATCTCAGCTCACTGTAACCTCCTCCTCCGGGATTCAAGTGATTCTCCTGCCTCAGCCTCCTGACTAGCTGGGACTAAAGGTGTGTGCCATCACACCTAATTTTTTTGTATTTTTATTGGAGATGGGGTTTCACTATGTTGGCCAGGCTGGTCTCCAACTACTGACCTCAGGTGCTCTGCCTGCCTCAGCCTCCCAAAGTGCTGAGCCACTGCACCCGGCTGATGTTGAGCACTTATTTATATACTTGTTGGCCATTTGTATGTCTTCTTTGGAGAAACATCTACTCAGGTCCTTTGTCTACTTTTTAACTAGGTTGGTTTGTTTGCTATTGAGTTGTGTGAGTGCCATACATATTTCGGAGGTAGCTTGCAAATATTTTGATTCCAGAGATTGCCTTTTTTCTTTTCTCTTTTTCCTGCTGTGCAGGTTTGGCAGATGCCAGGGCTTCTGGGGAATGGGGGAGATGTTGGGCAAAGGGTACAAACTTGGAGTTATACGATTATTAAGTTCTGGGGATCTAATATATACATGGTGGCTACAGTTAATAATACTGTATTATTTACCTGAATTTGATAAGAGAACAGATTTTTTTTTTTCCAGACAGAGTCTCGCACCTGAGACGTGTCCTTTAAATTCTGCTCTTGGTGACCCCAAGATTTCCTCAGGATATACTAGGCCCGAAAGAAGAAAGCCATGGAGTCCTTTAGAGGAATTATCTGACAGAGAAAGAGTCTTCCAAGAAATTCCAGACCCCCAACTCCCTGTCCTGAAGGCTCAAGAGCAAGGAGATCCGGGCCACCAAGACCCCAAACCACTTCATTCGGTCTAAAAACACTGAGAGCATCTTCGTCCAGATTGCCTTCTCTGTCGGGCTGGGCAGCGTGTGGTGTTTTCCTTACCTGTGTCACCAGAATGGAGACGGTAAGGCCAGGGGCCTGGGTCCTGAGCTTAAGGATGGAGTTTCTAGGCTGGGAGCCTCGAGTCCTGGGCCCTGGAGGAGGAGAAAACTGGGGTTGGACACATGGGCTCCTAGGGGAAAATGGGGACAGGGCCAGGACTCCTGGCTGCCTGGCACAGCCCCTGGCAGCTCCATCCTGATGTACTTCTTCATGCTCCTCTTATTCGGGATCCCACTCTTGTACATGGAGGTGATCGGGGGCAGTGGCTGCATGTGGACAACATCTGGGTCTGGAAGCAGCTTGTCCCCTGGCTGTGCAGCGTGAGCTACGCTCGCATTCTGGTAAATGAGGGATCCAGCCCCACTCCATCCCAGATCTCCCTCCGTGGTCCCCGCCCACCGTGTCCACCCCCAGAGGTGCGCCTTGGTGAGCTTGTATAACAGCAGCACCATCTCCTGGAATTTCTTCTCCCTGAGAAACTCCTTGGCTCACCCCCTGCCCTGGGACCACTGCCCACTGAAGAACATCAGTGTCACTGGTGAGGAGAGAGGGGCCAGCAGGGCCACCAAGGGGAGGAAGTGAACAGAAGCAGGCACTGAGCAAGGTGGTACCCGGGTCCCCCCAGACTTCTCTTGCCTTCAGACTGTGCCCACCAGTACTTCTTGTACCACGCCACCCTCCGTGCCTCGGACCACAGTGAAGAAGTGGCTGAAGGCCTCGTCCTGAACCGCAGCCTGGGTCATCTTGTCAGTTGTGATCACAGGGATTCGGATTTCAACGCCGGTAAGCTCCCCTGACCGCCAGCCCCACTCCCATGTCACCTTTGCAAATCCGAAGACTTCCACACACTCCACCCCAACACAACCCCACTCCTTCCTGGTGACTGCTCTTCTGCAATCCCTGTGACCCTTCCACCCACCCCGAGGACAAGCTCAGATATGCCTCAGCCTCCCGAGTAGCTGGGATTACAGGCACCTGCCAACACACCCAGCTAATTTTTGTACTTTTAGTAGTTTTGCCATGTTGGCCAGGCTAGTCTTGAACTCTTGACCTCAGGCTGAGGCAGGAGAATCACTTGAACCCAGGAGGCGGAGGTTGCAGTGAGCTGAGATCGCGCCACTGCACTCTAGTCTGCACGATGGAGCGAGACTCAGATGTGGTCACCCAGCATCTCCATCCAGGGGTCCGAGGAAGATTCTGTACTCTCCTCAGGCAAGCTATGTCAGCCCGGTCTCTCTACAGGGAACTGCCGCTCCAGTGACAGCTTGAAGAAATTCCTCACTGTCAACCAAATCCCCACATCAGGACATGCAGAGACCTATGGGAAACCTTTCAGCTCAGACCAGTCTCCCCAGCTGAGCCCTGCAACCTCCACCTCCCTGTGTTTTGACAGCATGTTAACCCCTAAAGGAGCTGACTGGCATTTGGAGCTTTTGTTTGTTTGTTTGAGACTGAGTTTTGCTCTGGTTGCCCAAGCTGGAGTGCAATGGCGCTACCTCAACTCACTGCAACCTCTGCCTCCCAGGCTCAAGTGATTCTCCTGCCTCAGCCTCCCGAGTAGCTGGGAGTACAGGCACATGCCACCACGCCCAGCTAATTTTTGCATTTTTAGTAGAGATGGGGTTTCACCATGTTGGCCAGGATGGTGTTGATCTCTTGACCTTGTGATCACCTGTCTCAGCCTCCCAAAGTGCTGGGATTACAGGCATGAGTCACCACGTCCAGCCTTTATTCTTTTTTAAGATGGGGTCTTGCTCAGGGTGGAGTGCAGTGGCATGATCTCAGCTGACTGCAACCTCTGCCTCCCAGGTTCAAGCGATTCTCCTGCCTCAGCCTTCTGAGTAGCTGTGACTACAAGTGCCCATGACCACACCCAGCTAACTTTTGAATTTTTTAGTAGGGATGGGGTTTCACCATGTGGGCCAGGCTGGTCTTGAACTCCTGACCTCAGGTGATCTGCTCACCCCACAAAGTGCCTGGATTATAGGTGTGAGCCGCTACACCCAGCCTGGGAATATTTTCTTTCAAACCATCTCCTTGGCATCTGGATCATGCTCCCTTTACATTGAAAATGTATTTCAGGCCGGGTGCAGTGGCTCACGCCTGTAATCCCAGTACATTGGGAGACGGAGGCGGGAGGATCAATTGAGCCCAGGAGATCGAGACCAGCCTGGCCAATGTGGTGAAACCCCATCTCTACTAAAAATACAAAAATCAGCCATGTGTGGTGGTGAATGCCTGTAATCCCAGCTACTCGAGAGGCTGAGGCAGGAGAACCTCTTGAACCCCAGAGGCAGAGGTTGCAGTGAACGGAGATTGTGCCACTGCACTCCAGCCTGGGTGACAGAGTAAGACCCCGTCTTAAACACACTGAAATATATTTTCTTTTTTATTAGATCATTTTGGTAAACTCTACCTGTGCCTCCTGATCCCTGCATTCATGCAGGTGGTCACCTTTCACATCATCCATCTCCATCCTGGGAGACTCAGCTTACCATCTCTTCACAGCCTCCAAAAATAAACCACTCCTACAAAAGTAGACTTTCCTAAAGGTTTGATAGGGATATACAGAGAGGGGCCCACTCCTAAACACTTCTCAGTCACCCACAGCTTTGTCACCTTGTCCTCCCTGGACCTGTGGCATCAACTACTCCCTCCCGGGCAAATCATTAAAATTCCTCTTCGAAGTCTCTTCTCAGTTTTCCTCTCCTTTCACTTATAAAGTTCTTCCACACAGTCTTTAGCCTCACTGGCTCCTGTCCCTAAACTCACACATAAGCCGTAACACCAAGGCCTGGGAATTAAGTGTCCAGCTACCCACCCTTTCAAAGCCATCTTTACTTGCAGTCTCACCCCGACTCCTGGGAAGCTTATTGTCTGCTCCAAACCACAGTATCGTCTCCTTAGAATCGTCCTCCCGTAATTCCATCGTGGTACCTCTGCGCCACCTTGACATCGCTCATATTTCTACTCCTGACCGGGAGGCCCCCGCTGATGCTAACCTCCGTCTTCCTCTCCTCCCCTGTCATCCTCCTCTGCCTCTTCATCCAAGGTCCTTTCCTGGAAGGTGCGGTCACCAGCCTCAGGCGTATGACCACCACAGAGGTGAGGCCTGGGACTCCAAACTTTCTCCCTCCCTCGACTCTCAAGACCTCCGAGTCTCCTTCCCCCACATCTCCTTTCCTTCTGCCCCCAGCCTCCCCTTTATCCCTTTGCTCTCTACCTTAGCCGACTCCTTAGCCTACTTATTTACTGGTAGTCCTACCCTTCCAAGCCCACTCTCAGTCACCCACAGCTCCCTGCCTTGCCCTCCCTGAACCTGTGGCATCAAGCAGGGGCCCCTGAGCCTGGGCATGGGTACCATCATCACCTTCACTTCCTACAAGGCTGGACGTGATGATTATGTCAAGGTGGCCATTGCAGCCCTGGTCAACCTGATAACCTCGATGCGGACCACATCCATCTTTCTAGTGCGGGGATTCTGGGCCACCACCAGTGGCCACGCCTGCGTTGAGAAGTGAGTACTCAGAGCCTCGCAGGTACAAGGAAAGGCCCCTCCCTTTACCTTAGCAATCCGCCAGCTTCATAACCCTTCAGACTCAAGACCTTTCCATTCATAATAACATCCTTTCTTCTCACAGAAAGCCATTAAAAAAAAGGAATGCGGCCAGACGCAGTGGCTCACGCCTCTAACCCAGCACTTTGGGAGGCCAAGGTGGGCGGATCACCTTAGGTCAGGAGTTTGAACCCAGCCTGGGTAACATGGTGAAACCCCATCCCCATTAAAAAATACAAAAATTAGCCAGGCATGGTGGTGCACACCTGTGGTCCCAGCTACTCTAGAGGCTGAGGCAGGAGAATCGCTTGAACCCGGGAGGCAGAGGTGGAGGCTGCAGTGAGCCGAGATCACGCCACTGTGCTCCAGCCCACATGGTAGAGGGAGACTGCGACTCAAAGGAATGCTCTAATATAATATCCACCGCTTTATAGATAAGAAAATAGTCTCAGAGATGCAACTGTTCTAAGCTTTCCGTAAATTGCAAATGGAGATTCTAAAATCAGTTCCTGAACTCACAAAAGAAGGCTGTTGCAGCTCTTGGGGCCACAGTCAGTGCTTATAGACCAGGGCTGGATATTTGAATCATTTGGGGAACATCAGAAAACGCTCCTGAGTTCCTCCTCCAGAGATTCTGACTTACTTGGTCTTGGGTGCGTCCAGGCATTGGGATTCATAAATGCTTCACAGAATTTTTCTTCTAGTCAGAATGTTGTAGGATACAAACATCCCTGCTTTGACGGTAGTAGCAGCTTTTTAAATAAATAAAAACCACACTTTCTTATAAAGTTACTGAAGAGCAGTGGGCACAACATTTTTTTTTTTTTTTTTTTTTTTTTTGAGACCGAGTCTTGCTTCTCGCCCAGGCTGGAGCGCAGTGGCGCAATCTTAGCTCACTGCAAGCTCTGCCTCCCGGGTTCACGCCATTCTCCTTCCTCAGCCTCCCGAGTAGCTGGGACTACAGGTGCCCGCCACCACACCCGGCTAATTTTTTGTATTTTTAGTAGAGATGGGATTTCACCACGTTAGCCAGGATGGTCTCGATCTCCGGACCTTGCAATCCGCCCGCTTTGGCCTCCCAAAGTGCTGGGATTACAGGTACGAGCCACAGTGCCCGGCCATGAATGTTTTTATATGTGTGGGTGAGTGCTTAATCTGGGTAATATGAGTGGAAGAGTTTTCACAGGTGGACAGACTGTTTGCACAGCTAAGCAGAAACCAACCAAGCATTTAATAACAGCATGGGCTACCAATAGGTAGTATAGTCTTGAAGAATCCCCAACACAGAAGTCAATTGCTTGATCCAACAGTTATCCTCACATTATTCCCAGAAATTCTGCGGAGGAAGTGTAAGTCTTATGATGTTCAGATTCCTAGGCCCCACTGGAGTTGAATACAAACAAAAACCATAAACATCTAAAGCCACAACCCAACTCACTCAAACTCAATGACAACATCCAAGGAACTAGTCTGATGGCAGGTGCAGAAAGTTGGGGCATCAAAGGTGAAGTGAGCTCTTAATTCCATGTGAAGGTG